GGCTTCCTGGCGTAGGCTGGGGCCTCGCTGAGGCCGTGGTCCTCCTTAGTGTCTCATGGTCCAGTCTCAGGTATGTCCAGGGTCTCCTTTAATCGGTGGCTGGGTCAGAGATCCTCTTCCCCCTTCCCACCATCAGGATCTGCCCTCAGCCCCAGCTGGAGTGGGGAAGGGCAAGGGGGAGGCGAGGGCTGTGGATGCAGCAAGGACAAAATAGCTCAGGGTCTCACGGGCTGGAGATGCTATTTGGAAATCTGCAGAGCTGTGACTACCGGCTTCATCTTGAAGTACTGTTTAAATCTTAGCTTTGCATATCTGCTGAGAGAAAGGGACGGACATGAGACACTTGCTGCTGCCCTGGCCTCGAGTCCCCTGAGCGCAGAGCATCCCTCCAGCAAGGAGGGGCCATTGGGATCCATCTGCTCCAGCCGTCCCACACTAGGCCACGCCGGGAGCAAACGCCATGGGACCCGAGCAGAGCTTCCTAGTCAAAAGCAACAGGAGATGGCAGTGGAGCAATTGCTGCCATTTGCCATTGTCCTGCTGGGTACCTCGGACATGAATATGCTGCTTCCTCAGCGCTGGACATGCCTGTTTTGGCCAAGGACGGGGCTCAGCCCGCAGCGCTGACCCTTCCCCTCCAGCCCCGGCTCTCACAGCACAGAGCTCACTCACCCTAAGAAGTTAAAGTCTATGGTAGAGTATTTATCTTGGATCAGGCCCCAGCATGCCCAGAGGAAATGGGACGCCTATAAGAGACAAAATACAGATCAGAAACTGGGACAAGGTGCCCCTGCCCCCAGGAAATCACTCGCCTCTCTCCCGGCCAGATCCCAGACCTCCCGCGGCCGTGCTGGAAGGTCACCGAGTCCCAGGCAGCCAGGGGTCTGGCCCAAACACACATTTTTGTATGCTGCAGTGGCTGGTCCCAGCCGGGGCGAGGGATCCCAGCAGGCTGGGTGCTGCACAGCGCACTGCGGTGCCAGCCTCGGCGTCTGCAGCCGGGCTGGGATGGAGCACTATCCTGTACGACCCCCCTAACCCTGCAAGCGGTGGCAAGGGGGGATTGAGCGCTGCTGGGACAAATCCCCACTGCAGCTGCACGGGAACCTCAGCAAGCAGCCCAACTTGACAGCCCCACTTCCTTGCTGGACACAACCCCCGAGCTGATGCACGTGGTGGAGAATTGTTGCATCTCCAAACCACTGAACAAGCCCTTGCCCCCTCTTCCCTCCAAGGAGGGCCATCTCCTCCACACAAGTGTCGCCCTCCAGCTGCCTCCTCCCCACCTCCGGCACTCACTAAAGAAAACTTGTTCACTTGCACGTAGAGAGCCTCCAGCTCCTTCTCAGACACGGCTGCTCCTCTGCCTCCTTGGTCCTCCTGGGTCAAGCGCTTGTAGGCCTGCAGGTAGGACCCCAGCCACTGCAGCTGGATCTCCTTGCTGGGGTAGAGGCGGTAGTCCACCTCCTTCACACCTGCAAGGAGAAGCTGTGATTAGCAACAGCCAGGAGGAAGAGAAGGGGAAGGGGAAGGGGAGGGTTTCTCCAGAGCAAAGCAACATGACCAAGGGACTCTCCCCACACATGACCAGGGCAGTGAAATCGTTGCAGGTCCAGGCCTGGAAACACAGAGGATCAACCTTCGGACTTGAGGCAACCCACCCAGCCCTCACAACATGAGGAAAGAGAGCTGGGCTCTTCCAGACGCCGTGCCCTAGCAGCACTCAGGCCGCTCACTGCTGACAACCCAGGGCCCAAAGAAAGAAAAGACCCTCCCTTGCACATCGCTCTAACGAAGCACAGCCCTGGGAGGAGCTGCCTCCATTTCCTATGGCAGGATTGAGGGTTTAACTGCATCCTCCCTTCCCTGAGGGCAGGGAGATCATGGGAGAGCAGTTGCAAGCTGGGTGGTTGCCTTTGGTGCCACAGAGAAGAGCCCAACTCACCTGCAAACTCGTTGAAGTGATTCCCAATGTCGAAAGCCTGGTAGTTGTAGCCGGTGTACTCGTAGTCTATGAACCGCACGTGCTCTGCGGAAGCCAAAGCAAGAGCTGTTACGGGAGCTGAGGACCAAGCCCGTGCTTCTCAGCGAGACCAGCGAGCTCGTGTGCCGGCACGCTGCCCCCGGGGGCAAATCCCTTCCTGCGGAGGTGCAAAGCAACTGCCACCAACCTTCAGGGCCGTTGTAGATGATGTTCTTGCAGAGCAGGTCGTTGTGGCAAAGCACCACAGGGGACCCCAGCTGGGAGAGGGTTTCCTTCATCCAGGCCAGCTCATGCTCTAGCACTTCCAGGCTGGGCACATCCGGATGGAGGCTGGGGAAGAAGGGGGTGGAATCACTGCTGCTCACAGGAAACCTCTTTTGGGGCAGAGAGGAAGAGTTCCCCCTTGCTTCCTTCCATGCATTTTATAAACAAATTGATCAGTGATACAAAGCAGCTCTAATGAGGCCATTCATGGTGGGGAAACCAGGCTCAGTGTGGGGTGCCCAGCACCTCCCGAGCTGTGCTGCAAGGCACCCATGTGCCTGGCAGCTGGCACAGTGCATCCCCAGCCCTGCCCTTCTGCTCACTTATGCCTACATCCATCCCCAAGATTCACCAAATCAGCACAAGGAGCCACCCAGCGCTTGCCAGCCAAGCATCCAAGTAACCCAAGGGCAACAGGATTTTTTTGGACTCCCCGTGGGTACACGTATTTTTGATAACCTCCACAGTTTCAGTTCCCAGAAAAGCACTTGTTAATGATTACCTAATTGTCTGGATGTAAGGTGCAGACTTGGGTAAAGCCTGCCTGCAGTATGGCGAGTACTAAAGAAAGCCCTGGATCCCGCCACGACTGTTCAGAGAGCAGGGTTAATTATTTGCTTGCCCTCGAGTCCATTCGCCTCCATCACCTAGGGGGCTGGCCGCATCCTTCCAACACGTCCCGGCTCAGGCCGACGCAGTCACTCACCTGATGTGAACCGGGGCTCCTGGCAAGGCCTCCGCTGCCCAAAAAAGGGATGAACTGGCTTGAAATGGGGACTGCCTGCTCCAATCCATAGTGGATTTCTAGCATCCCCTCCACCAATGTTATCTGAACTTGGCAGCTCAGATCCCCACTGTGAGAAGGGCTGAGCTTCGCTTTATTCTAGCTATGGCTTAAAATGCAGGCCTCCATCCCATGGGCCTCCCCTGCTCACCAGGGCTTAGCCAAATTGCTTGCTGATGGATTCAGATCCAGGAGTGGCTGCGTGGCTGGTCCCAGCACGGACACCTTCCCAAAAAATCTCCTGCTAGCAAACCCCAGCAAAGGCTTTACCTGGGAATCGGGGCTGTCTCCCCCAAGCCCGTATGAGCAAGACTTAGAGATGGGTGGGCAGCGGACGCCCAAGCCAGAGCCTGGCTCTTTGCGATCCCTCTGCCTTTACCTGGGGTTGGATACCTTTGGGCTGAGATCCATCTTCACGAGGGCGAGGTATTTGTGCAGTTTCTGCCACAGGATGGGCTTCGGGATGCTACCGTTGGCATGGATGGCGTGCACCCGGGCCATCTCCTGGGCCACCAGCCTGCAACAAGCCACAGAAGCGCAGGTAAGAGGCAGCTGGGCGCCAAGACCCAAAAAGCAGCACCCCTTAAAACAGGTTTGAGACATCTCAAAAGAGGCTTCCAAAAGCAGCGTTTAAAAATTCAGGGTCAAGACAGCTAAAAACTCCTTTCCACAGCACTTTTAGCTGTGTGTTGTTGAAAAATTTTGAGATATTGCCTGGGTCAAAAACAGCATTCACCTTTCCAGGTCAAATTTATATAAAAGCCGAGATTCTTGGGCAGTCTCTTCATTCACCGAAACACAGCAAAAATCCTGCTGCAGCCTCGGGATCACCAGGGAATTTGGCCTGTTTATCCCTCAGCACCATCTGGATTTGCGCATGCAAACAGTACTGGAGATACCTAGATAAAAGCACCCAGAAAGTGGTTGGAGCAACTGCAGGGAGGGTGAAAGCTGCTCAGAAACACAGACAGACCCCTTGTCCTGCTCCCGAGATGCACCGGCTCCCCTCCCGCGTCTCCAGCCCACGACAACGCTCCCTCCTCGGCCCCTCGCCTGAATATGCAGGGGTCCCGCACGTGGTCCGGTCCCAGGGCGATGCCCGGCGTGAACTCGTAGCACAGGCCGTTCTGGAAGGCGCAGTAGAGGTCGGGGGCACAGCCGTGGGCTTGCAGCACCTGGAAGTTTTTCAGCTCCGTCTCCCGGTCCACAAAAAGCTCCGTCTTCCTGCCGTAGATGCGGACCAGCACCGCGTCTGCCATGTCCTCGTCCGTGTAGCAGGCCACCAGCTTGTTGGTGATGCCATCGGTGAAAAGCTGCAGGGGGAGAGGAGCGGGAGGGTTGGGATGGCGGTGTGGTCCCCTGGGCACGCAGGGGAGAAGCTGCCCCAAGTCTCCCGAGCCCGCGTTAACGCTCGGGGCCCGCAGGCAGAGAGATGCCGCGACCCCCGTTCCAGCGAGCACAAGGGACTTTCCTCCAGGTCACGACCGGTGGCTGGACACTGGGTTTCCCTGCTTTGTAGCGTCACAAACAGCTGCCCAGGGAGGAAGCAATGGCGATAACAGGCAACGAGTGAATAACCCAAATGCTTGAGCCCCGTTTTTTCCCAGGCAGAGCCTCTTGCGGGACAAACCCAAGGTGCAGCTACGGGAGAGGCTTGAGCGAGCATGAAGCAGCAGTGCACACAGCAGCTGGGAGAAAGCGCCTGGTGCGGGCGGTATGAGTTTGGGAGGCCTCAAGGTTCACCTGCAAACCTGCCCAGGGCCACGCGTGTGAAGCCTGAGCTTGGCAAAGCCCAGGGTGGTTTGGGTGGAAATCCACTGTTTTTCACCTGGGAGCTCAGGAACAGCTAGAGATACTGCATGCGCACTCAGCACCCAAGCCACCCTGGGAATCAGTCCCAAAAAATCAGCGCAAATCACTTGGCACAAAACAAACCCCAGCAAACAAGGCAGAGCAAACACCACCACCCCATCTCCTCCTCCTGACCCTCCCCGCGGGGCTGGGCCGCGCGCAAGTCACTGATAGGCAGAGACGTCGCTGCTGGGGACGTCTCTTGTCATTGCTCTGATGGCTCCTCACAGATGGAAAGCAAGTTTTGTTCTTGCGCCACCCTGGCTTGGCTGGCTGCCCGGGCACATGGAGTCCCCACGGCCGGCGTCACCTCCTGAGCCGGGGGAGCCCATGCCGCGGTCCTCTCCCTGCCCGGCGGGTGGCACGGGGCAGCTCCGATCGCCTCCAGTGTGTCGCAAGATTTGGGCCCCCATTGCCCAGCTGGGCGTGCGAGACCCCTGCCCCATCGCGGGTGGGATGCTCAGCAGCGCTGCACCCAACACAGCTCGTGCAGGAGATGGGGCCGGACGAGGGCCGCGGCTGGGCACTGCCTTTCCCCATGGAGTCTTCTCCACTCACATTACTTCTTTCCCCCCCTTTTTGGTTTAGCAAAACGGAGGAAATGCGATGCTGGTGGAACGGGAGGGGAGCGACGGCTCGTGCTACAGGAGCAGCGGTGCTCGGGGTGGGACACGCACCGTCTAATTTTAGACAACTCACTCAGCAACTCACGTTCCTATATAGGGTGCCTATATATAGGGCTCCCTATGTCGCCTCCAGAGGGAAACTCAAAGCACTGGAATTAGACACCTAAAGTTAGATGGCACAAATACCCCTCGTTACACAGCTGGGTGGTGCTGGCTCTCGGGGTGGGCAGCGGCCGGGGCTGCAACCCAGCCACGGTCGCTAGCAGAGCTGCTGTCCCCTGGACTTGCACAAGGCTGCTGCTGTCTCACATGGAGCTGGGACAAGCTGAAGCTTTTGAGCAAGGAAGCAGCTCTTCCCGTGTCAGATAATTTGTCTTTCTGCCATGGTGCCACGCTTCACTCTCTCCTCTCCTTGTCCTGCCAGACCCGAGAGACCAGAAATTCAGCAGGCAAAAGCTGCCACAGCCTATCAGGGCAAAAGAAGCGGCATCCTTGAGTCGATACCCTCTGCGAGCTGCACACGGTAGCGCACACATCAGCTGCGGGCGAACGGGATGGCTCCACGCTGAGCAGCTCAGCTCTGCCTCAGATGCTGGGTCCTCACTCTGCTTTGGTTTTGTTTTGCTGCTCAACAGCCCAATCAGCCCTTTCCAGAGGGTTTAATGGGATTACGGAGCCTTATCCCCCGCTGAACTCCACACTGTTAATTTTGGAGACTCACACGTCGCTTGTTGGTGCACGCATGCAGGGTCTCTCTTGCTTTGGAGACAGCACCTTCTCCAGCTCCCCATCAATGAGCGCAGCTGCTCAGGAGATGCCCAAAGAAGTTCCTCGTGGATCTGATGCATCAAAGGTACAGTCATTGACTGCTGTCCAAATACTTCCCTGGCGTTGTTGTACCACAGCAGCGGAGAGGAAGCAAGCGCAACTCTGCCCAAGGCACGAGGAAATCAAGGAGCCTTGCAGCAATTAAACAAGAGGCCAGACCCGAGCGCTGTGCAACGGCGTTGAAGAGAAGTGGCTCGGCCCCATGGTGCTACACCACGGCCAGGACGAGCCCC